TTAAATATTATATGACCCAAATTGACAAAACAAAAAATTTGTTATTATCGTAAATATACATATACATATATATATGAATATAAATGGTTTACCAACAAGAACGACGTGATGTTAATAAGAAATAAGACACTCACATTGATCATAATGGGTTCCGGTTTTTTTTGTTGTTGTTGAGATAATTTTATGCCATTTATGATTTGAACAAAATGTCGACTAAATGGCCACCACATCTCCGTGTGCATATCTCCGCCCGGCATACAGCATTTCGGCATGAAACACGAGGCGGCGCCCCATCTTGTTAGATCCTTCGGGAAAAAAAGTCGATCAACATCGTTATAATACGATCGCTATTGGTGGTAGCGGTATTTCATGTCCCATTCCGAAAGAAATAGAGCCCTATGATGCCGCCTTATCACAATCCGCAACAAAAGGTCAACTTTTCGGAATACAATTGCATTTGCTGAACCACACGAGGATTTGACTCACCCCAATACCGACGATTTTGCTTGTTGACGAACACATGAGGCCAAAAATCGACCTAATCTAAGAAGATAATTTTTCGATGAACGTGATGTTGTGAACTTTTCGGTGAACATGAATTTGCGTAAAAATCTTCGCAAACTCCGAAACTTTATACCAAAGTGAAACGTGACATTATTAAATGGCAAACCTCACTGAACACACTGACAAAGTTTGATGCAAATCTGTAAATTTACATGGCCGCCACGAGCTGTCAAATTCACCTGATATATATATATGTATATATGTATATATATATTATATTATATATTTGTATAAAATAATTCGATATTGGTAGCTCTAAGGTATTTAGGTTATAAACACCATAGCCTAAAAGTATGCATTTGAAAGAACATTTAACATTTTTGAAAGAATTATTTCTTTAAATTTAAATTTGGCATGGGTTATTGCCTAAAGCAATGATGCAATCTCCTTCGAAATTATTCAGATCGGATCACTATAGCATATAGCTGCCATATATATATTTTTGGTATGTGCGAAGTGTACTATAGCTTCTGTGTAACCGAGGTTGACAATTTTTCTTGTTTTGATTCAGAACATACTCTAAACTACTGACCACTACCACCACTACTAGAGTATAAAAACTAACGAGTTTAGTAATATTTTCTGCTCACTGTGTGACGCCAAAACTCATAATAACTCCAAAAGCGTCAGCTTATTTTAAAATATCAAAAATAGAATAGCAAAAATACGTCAAAGCTGCTTTTAAATTAAATATATCCTTTTGCCGTCAACGCTTCTGTTTGCTGACAAGCGAAAATTTCACAAAAAAAATGCAATTTTAAAATATACACGCTACAAAATGAGTGCGAACACAAACTGAAACAGAAAATCAGAGTCTCTTTGCCATGTCCCCAGCAGTACTCGTGGCATATCCATTCACGTTTACTTATTTTTAATTTTTTTTTTGTGTTTACTTTGCTATCTACAGATTTTCAGCGCTCTTAATTTTTTATGCGTTTCTCTGTGTAGCACGCATTTTTCGCTCGAAATTATATTTTCTGTCATTTAATGCCTTTATGACGCTAAAGCTTTATGAGCTTTTCAGCGCGTTATATTTCCGTCGCAAATTTTTTGCTGCATGAAAAACTAAAAAAAAAAAAATGTAAAAGTGGAGGAAAATGCCACTTCATAAACTTAATTTGCACGCAAAAGTGAATAAGTACACAAGCAAATATGAAGGCAACACATAAGAAAGACGTCTGTCTGTCTAGCTGTCGCCGTTTGTGGTTTCGCATTTGCCTTTTAATGCAACCAAATGTAATTAAAATATTAATATTTATGTGCGCTATTTGTAATTTCTTATTTGAATGTAAAATTTGTTTGAAATTAAGTCAAAGTAGAAAAGTCGAACGAAAAGTGTGCTGATTTAACAACGCCTAAAAGCTGCCATACTTTTTTAAAAGCTGGTTTAATTTATGAAAATTAATAATAGTATATTACTTTAATTTATCACTTGAGTGTTTTCAGTAGCGTAACATATCATAAAACCCTTAATTTGTTCTAAAAATTATCTGCGGCTACCTTTCGAAAGCGAGATGAGCTAGAGAATCCTCACACATTTTCAAACAATACATTCCATACAACTCATAATTAAAGCCATTGCACTTTAGCAGGCAAAATATGTCGTTCTGTTGAATAAGATCTCAATTAGTATTAAATATTGTTTAAATATCTATCTAATATTGTCTAAATAAAGCGCCTAAAAGTATGCAAAACTTACTCTAAAAGTTAATAATATTAAACCTCAAGGCAGTTTAACTTCTCTTCTTACTCTTCTAAACATTTCTTCTTCTAGCATTTTATTTCCGCTTCCATCTTCAATTAGCATCCCACCCTCTAGCGCCTAAAAATATGCTTTACATGGTTTTAAGCGCCTCGCATTTTGCTACAAATTGCTTTATTAGCTGCGCTTTTCTTGCTGCAATTCTTTCGTGCAATTTCTAAGCTTTCGACTTCATTAATACGCAATCTCTTTATTTAATTCCGCAATTTTTGCGAATATCTTAAAAAATGTAAATTCTTGAAATTATTTTCTTGCATTTGCATGTTCACTTTCCTAACTTTCATGCTTGTTGCTGTTGTTGTGCACTTTTCTAATAGTTTTCACGCCACTCAGCTTTTGTGTTGGCAATTTCCAAATCACTGAAGCATTTCATTTAATGCCACGGCTGTCGATTGCCGCATGAGCCAAAGCGCTGTGGCAGCAATGCATTTTTTTGCGTTTCCCTTTCCCCGCTCACTCTTATATCTTTCAGCGTTTATTTGTAATTATATAATGTGCACTTTTTTCATTTCTTATTCACCTTCCACTTATTTCTATGCCTCTTAATTAAATTATTTCCCCAGTTTAGCCCTTGCCATTGTTGCTGGTTGCTGGTGTTAATCGGTGCCTCCCCCGAAATGCTTGCTGAATAATTTGATTGTGTTTAAGTGCAAGTGTCAGTTCATTTGCTGTTATTTATCATGATTTATATGTTAGTAGGGAAAAGCTGTGCTGAAGGCAATATATGGGGGTAGAATACTCATTTTATGCACTCACTTTATTTTTTTCTTTCAGTTTTTTTTTTGTATTTCCATAGTTTTTAATTAAATTTATAAAAAGGTAAAACTAAATTACTTTATCTTTTCGATAAGGTTTTTAGAGACTTTTTTTTTACAATATAATAGAAAATTCGGGAATTTATCTTCGAATAATCACTTGGGCAAATTTGTAAAATGTAGTTTCGAAAAAAACGTTTTTAAAGTTAAACTATTGGAGCTGATTGAAGGCTATACCTCAAATCCATTTTTTCGATTTTTTTTTTTATTTTCACACTATGTGTTCGCTTTTAACATTAAAAGAAAAATAATTATTTTTAATCTATATACGCACTACTCTCATAAACACACCACTATGCTTTCCTTTATCCACTTAAGTATACTCTGTCTTCTACTGACCCTGCTGGATCATTTATTTTGCTGCTGAAATTGTGTGCAAATGTTGAAAGAATTAAATGTACCTTGTTAATTAACCTGCAAATACACATATATGTATATTTTATGCAAATGCACAGTAAACTCTATATAAGTTCAACTCCTTCAAAGTCATTCTACGCGCTAGATTATTAATTTGATATTAAGATCTTTTTTCTAATTTCAACTATTTAAAAAAAAAAATTTAGTTTCTTCCAACGAATATTAACAACTTTTAATTATTAGCTTTTTTCTTATTAACATTTCAATCATTTCCTAAATTTAAAAAAAAAATCTCAAAGCAAAATTCTAAAAATTCCCACAAACGAGTTATTAATATAAAGAGCCTACTGTACTTAAAGAACGTATCAGAAGAACGTTTCACTTCAATCATACGCTCCCTTGGGTCACTGCAGCACATAATCATGTCATTAATGCCCCATGTCATACATACATACATACTAAGACACAGACATATGTTAGCAACATTCACTGTTGATGTGGCTCCTCACTGGTAAAATACAAATATTTTATTGGTTCATTGCTAACATGGCTTAACCCCCAGATATTACACAGCAGATACTAACTGGCACCATTAACATTGGCTCTCTCTCACACAGCTTTTCACACATGACATTTGCAATTGTAGTAGTTTTTGCCGCTCTGATTTTACCAATATGCTGCCTTTTGGCGTCCTTTCATATTTATGCTCCATTTAACATTTTCATTTCACGTGCTAATTGCAAGTTACTTAATGTTGCAGCAACAAGAATTCAAGCACATTTACTTAGCCCTGAGTTAATGTAATATACCCGCTAGGGAGATATACTAAAAAGAGAGAGAGATAAAGGTGATTGGTTTATTCAAAAATTACAAAATTGCATAATTGAGTTTTTATTCCGAAAATTATATAACTCATTGGAGAATTTTAAGTTGATAATGGTGCATGAAAGAAACAGCCCAATATTCTAAAATTTGCAGGATTTTTAGCTAAGTCTCACACCGTAACCTAACTAATGCCAAGCTGACTTTGAGGCTTAAGCTTAAACTTTTACTGTTTTCGATTAACTGTTACTGAAAGCAAACTACTAAACTTTCACCCAAGCTTAGACCCACATCATCCATAAGGTAACCAAAAATTCGTGTCTAGTGCTAAAAACTTTTGAATGTTGGAATAAAGCGGCGCTGTACGGGCTTTACAAATTCGTATTCGAATTAGATTCCTAACACATCTATGAGAGTCTTTGAGATTTAATCTTACAGCAACATCCATGACTCTTCTAGTTTTTTTAAAACAAACAGCTCCTAACTTACTCAGAATACCTACCATGTTGTTGGTTCTGTTCCCTTATTAACCCAAACTCTGATTTTCCGGCCTCCTTACATAAATATTTTGCTAACAGTTTGAACGAAATATTACTTGTAAAGTATTTTTAAAATTACCAAAATTTTATTTATTTAGATATTCACCAACTCATACTAACTTTCCGCTTTTCTTATTTCAGGCTACTTTTCGCTGCTCAATGACAAGGGTATACCTACAGCCACGCTCTACACCTCACTGATACAGCTGGTGCGCGAACGTGTGTACAAATTCGTCTCAGTGGACAATATGCCCGCCTTCACGGAATCCCAACCCAACGTAAATAACCTACCCACAGAGGGTTGCATACCAATATATACCCAACCACCGCCACCACCGACCAACAATCGCCCACAGTATGTGAAGACGACAGCGCGAGGTGGTCAAGTCTTTCGACTGCTTGCCGTTTTCGAAGATGGCAAACAAGATCACACGACAATCGGTTGTACCGGTGGTGTTACAACAAAAGCGAATAACAATCATGGGCGTGAGAAGGAAAAAGGACGCTATGCACAATTGCTGAATGAGAATCGGCAGGTGTTGTATGTGTCGCTCTCCACGAAGGGAAAATTTTACGAGATCGAACCGGGTATACCACAAATACTGCAGAAATTGGGTGGTATCGGCAATGAAGCGAATAAAAAAGTGAATCCGGATTGTGTGCATCGCATTACGGCGCTGATAACGCCACAACGAGAGTTACCGTTAACACTACGTTACATCTCCGGACCGCATGGCTGTACTAGCGCGATACCCGAGAATGTTTGCATTACGCACATAACTACTGAGAATGTGGTGATCGCCTGTCCCATCGAGGATGTGGAAGTGCAAAGTCCACTGCATTTACGCAAGCTACATCTATCCAAAGAGATGAATTTGTTGAAGAGCTCACTCGGTTTCGAGAGCGAACAACGCATGCTGGCAAATCCCAATGTGCAAAATATATTGAAGTTTTGTCAATTCAATTGTGATCAATTTCTTAAGATGGTTGAGGTGGAAATATTGCACCGTCCAGAGCGCTCTGGTTCGAAGAGTCGTGGTGAAGGTTTGAAGATATTGAAACCACTACATCTACCAAAGCTGCTGCGACGTGAAAAGACCACAATACCAGCGCATGAGAAGGAAGACTCTATAATCTTTCTCAGCAAATCGGATCTCGCTAATTTGGAGGCAAAGGAAGCAGCTGCACAAGCAGCTTTTGAAAATGCAGCTAGCAGTACCAACCGCATTAGTGATAAGATGAAAGTTTTTCAATCGACTAAGAAGAAATGGTTCCGCAAACAGGACAAACACGCAGCGCATACAATGACCTCCTACGAACTGGATGTGCAGGCGAAACGCATGAGCATGGAACGCTATTCGGATATGTCGAAGCTGTTGCAGGAGCGTTTCGGCGATAAACCAAATACGCAGCTACAAGACGCGAATGAATCAATTTCGGAACCGAGTGGCGGCGCATCGGATATTGGTTGTTCGGACACGGAGACTACAACCTTGGCGACTATCGATGAAAAATTCAAGAAAGTCGAAACTAGCGGCAACAAAATGATAAAAAAATCCATGTCGCTGCAGGATATTGAGCTTATTAGCGGCGGTGCTGCTGCACGCAAACCTGATCTGCTACCAAACACTGATACCATCTCAGAGGCGGGCACCGATCTTGAAGATCTCGAAAATCAGGATCTCATGCCACAGTCTTTTATAACTGAAAAGCTTTATAATGAGTTCCACGTCAAAACGCGGCAGTACAGCAAATCATCATCGAGCCTCCATCAACTCTTAAATTTTTCATTGCCACAGAAAATGCAGTTACACGATAACAAGCGCTCGCTGGCGCAACTGAAGCACAATGGCAACAATGGCGTCCTAGCAGCAAAACCGTCATTAGGTGACAAACGACTTGATTTCAATATCGGCGAACCCGTAACTGGCAGACGTGCTGCTGGTGGGCTTTCATTGCTTGCTGGCATTGGCGGTCTGGGTCATTCAAGCAATCACACTGCGCTTGCCTCACCGCTAACACCGACCAGCCTAATTGACGATCTGCCCTACTCGAGCGTGCGAGATTCATTGGTGCTCTCCAGTGACGAATCGGCATCGGAAAATCCAACGGGTAATATTTGTCAGGCGCTCAACATGATCGACTACAATAAAGAGAATATCTATGCGGAAATATGCCATGACAATGTTAGCCACAATGCAGCAGCAACAGCTGGCACCACAGTCTCGGCTATGGGCGGCATTTGTACATCGGCCACGCGTGACACGTTTTCGGCTGAAACACACTCCACGCAGATCTCGGACGATTATGGTGACTACGCATCGCTAACATACACCACAATCGCACAACCGTTTAACGGTAGTGCGCGCAGCGCGAGCATTGCCAGCGCTCTCAGCAAGTCGACGAGCGGTCAAACTGTAGTCAGCGCAGCAGCGCCACCAGCAGGACTGGCGATCAGTCGCGTACAAATCAATTGCAGCTCCGTCAGTCCGGTGAGCTATCACACGGTATATTTGGGCGATGAGCCGCTGCACAACGACAAACAGCGCGAACGTGCGGCAAGGCGTGGCAAAGTGGGCAACAAGAGCCGCGCGCATGTCACCACAGTGGCGCTGGAAGGCAACTCGGCAACGGCGAATGATATGCACAACAACAGCAACAGTAATGGCGGTAGTATTGGCGCTACAGCTGCGAGCATTGCAAACGAACTGGAGGAGGTGGCTGACAATATTTACAATACACTGAAATGATGACTAATGTGATTTAGTTGGAAATTGGGTGCATCGGTTTTGAGCATGATAAGTAACGGCAAGGGGTTCTATTGAGCCAGCGCGGCGTTGTCAACACACTTGCTCAGCAGAAATTGTAACTGAGTGCGTGAGAACTAGTGATTAAATCTAATTTAATATTAAACTACGATTCGAACTGCTCGAAAGAGGAAACAGATATGTGATGTTTAGGGTTTTCTAAGCGATATTGATAAAGGTGCGTTTCGAAGGTACTTTTTTTTTTTAAATATTGAAGATACTTATTAAGATGGCTTTAGCTTAGTGTGGATGGCGAGGGATTTTGTATTTAATTAAGTGTAATAGATATATAAATATATATATCAAAAAAATATAGTTTTAACCACCATTAACTCAAAGACATTCAAAAGTTCGACACTTAGTTACATTAGTCAACAAATTTATATCCAGAAAGCTTGTGGGAGTGATTTCGTATAAAATTCGGAAAAGGTGCTAATAACTGTGTTGAGAGTGAATCGAACAGATAAATGTGCTATAGTCAAGAATAATTCTTAGTTAAAAGGGTGAGAGATTCAGTAAATTTTAATGACTTTTGGATAAAAAAAAGTTCTTGCAGGTTTTCAAATTCAATATGTTCCATTTGTTATAATAGTTCATTACTGGAAAAACTTCCTCTCTTTAGAACTATTTGATCAGTATAAAACTATGCATGTCTTGAAGTCGAAAAGCTCAAATGGTAGTTTACGTGTGAGACAGATTTTTCGCGAATATCGCTCACGAAGTTTTCTGGATTGTTTTGCCTCTCATTTTTCTCATGAAAACATAATATAAATAAAATCTTCATTATTTACAATAACAACAAAAGATTTACAGTAAATACACAAACAAATCCATGGGTAATTTAGACGAAAATCAAAATGTGTCGCGCAAATTAGTATTAACAAAAAATTCAATACAAATTTAATGAAATAGTATTAAGCTTTCTGCTGTAAAAGCAACAAAATGCATTTAAACAAAACACCTAAATTAAAAAGCATTAATAAATATAAGTAACTGTGAAATTAGAAGTACATAGGCAATCATACAAATAGCAAATCGGTAAAGTAAATTGTATACAGCGTAAAATTTAGTCAATAACCCTGCGATTAACTATGGATTAATTGACTAATCTAAGATCAACTGCATATTAATTGGCTAATCTAAGATTAATTTTAGATTAATCGACTTACCTAAGATCAATTTCAGATTAATTGACTTATCTAAGATTAACTTCAGATTGGCTGACTAATCTAAGATTAATTTTAGATTAATCGACTAATCACAGATTTACTTCAGATTAAACGACTAACTCTAATTAAAAGGGTTAGTCAAAAATTCTCCGTTAAAGTTAAAAGCCGCATAGTTTATCACTACCACAATTAATCGATTATTCGCTATTCAAATACACTCGTCTACACAAAAGCATTAAACTACAATATTCTTTTAAAATAAATTACAGGGCTATATTTACTTTAAGAAAAAAAAAACCGCTACCACAATCAAGATCACCTAATGACCATTGTAAATACAAAAACATACTAATTTGTAGCTGAGCAAATATACATACCTAGATATTCATACAAACATCATTGTCGACATGAATCACAAATCATCAAGCACTTAATCAAGCCATCAATACAGGTGTGTCACAAATAAAACATACAAAAATTCTGCCAGAAGTCTTAAAGTACAGAATATATATACATATATAAATATTTCACAATCAAAATTAAATAAAATATCAGCTGTCCTGCAGTGAATTCAAATTTGACTCAAAACTCAAGAAATCTAAAAAAGCTGAAATTTGTTTGTGTAAGGTAAGTGTATTTTTGTTTTTGCAACAAAATTATTCACGAAAAATATTATTATATAGCTCATATTTGAGATTAAAAAAAAATTTATGAAATTTAATAATCTCTCAAAAGAATGGGTGGAGCTTTTGAAGCTTCCATACCGCTCACCGCTCATATTTCGAACTTTTCGAAATATTACCTAACACCTGAAATATGACATTTTGAGAAAGCTTGCAGTCTCAATAGGTGGAAAAAAAAGTTTCCAACTTTCAAAGCTTAAATCACATATGAAATTGTTTGAAATAAATGTGTAACATTTGTCCCAAACATATACATATATACACATATACATATATACATATACATGTGTGCATAAAATATAAATTTCAGTGAAAGCTTGCCGTCCCTATAAATAACAATAAACCGGCGAGTTTCGCAAAGCTTAAATCACACTTGAAAGCTCTGAATATGACAAAAAAACTATTATACACTGTAGCAACAAGTTGCGAGAGTATAATTATAGGGCATATATTTCTTGCTAAAATGTACGTGATTACTAAAATTTTTCGTCAAATATTTTAGTTTTATAAAAACTTTCTAAAATCGCATAACTTTTGGTGTCTTAAAACAACCGCAGTTATTTAAGTTAAGAAAGTTGAAACTTAATTATGCTCACAAACTCAGCATAAAGCTTAAAGAGTTGAGGGAAGCTCTAGAGTTTTTAAGCATAAAGCTTATTGAAATAATTATTTCAATGTTTAAATGGCTCTGAATAAGTCAATTTTTGATTTTTAGTGAAGTGAATGCAATTTCAAAATGTAAAATAATATAATTCAAAACCTACAACAAAGGAAATTTCACACCCAAATCATACACAGCATAAGTACACTTGCAGGGCAGTGAGTATTATTAATATCATATCGCACCACTCACATAAGCATCATTATCGGTCGTGGAAATCAGTAATGCCGCGGCACTGCAAATACTACTGTTTGAATACTGTAATTACCAAATAAATATCAATAGCCATCTCAGAGCACACATACGTACTTGTATAACTGTACATGCCATTTCACAAATACACAAGCACAGTTTAGCAGAAGTTAGATGTTATTGATAGCCCTTCAACCCGACTCAGCAATCAGCACACAAGTCAAAGTCATTGAAATATCACAAACAAATAAAAAATAAAATAAAATAATATTAATTGTGGAGAATTCAATACGAGTTTTGAAATCGAATATATGCGATTGCAAATTATAAATATGTAAATACTATTAAATTTCGAACCAAAAGCGATAAGCAATGAATTTAAAATATTTTCAACTAGATATTCGAACTCCAATATCTACAACAATAAAATAAAATTAAATTATTGATATATGAATATTGCTTATATATAGCATTTTAAGGAAATTTAAGTATTCGCTACAACAACAAATCGGCTATACGACGTCTGTAGCGTGTGTAAAGTATTAAATTAGCGTAAAAGCATTAATTTGTAATTTTAATTGTAAATATTACAACAATAAATAACAAGTAAGTTTCAAAAACTAAAAACAATAAATTTAAATATGTACAGCGGCGGTGCAGCAACACATATGTAGTAAATAAAAATAATTAAATTACATTTAAAAATAATTATATACCCAAGCATGCACTTTTAAGATTTTTTAAAAGGATTTTACTTTTCTAGTGTATGATTTTGTAAATTACGTCAACGGCCGACGAAGAATAGTAGAAATGACAACTCAAATGTAATATTAAAAAAATTATATAAATGCAATATATGAGAAAAGAAAAAAAAATTACGAAAATATCGAAAATTTTAACTTATTTGCTTATAATTGAAAAAATTTTATATATTTCAAATAAACAAAATTTTATATTTTTGCTGTAAATAATTGCTGTCAAATTAAAAAAAAAAAAGATTGCAATAAAACATTTTTTTTTTTTTGGTTTTATAATTTAATAACAAACTAATATTGTGTAATTATGCATTATTACTATTAAATACTTTTTGACAAAAAAAAAATTTATTTATAAGCAAACACACAAAAAAGTCATTTTAGTTTGTATTACCATAAACAAAAAATTATTTATAACTTCAAAACTTTTTGTAAATTTATTAATTATTAGAAATAGTGATTTTAAGAGAATGCAATTTCATTTAAAAAACAAAAACAGTTTAAGACAATTTTCGTTTCTTACAAAAAAACTCTTGGTATACGATTTTTGGTCTCAATGAAAAATAAATTGATTTTATTAATTAAAATTAAAAAAATACAATATCCATTTTATATATAGAGATTTGCAAACACAGCAAAAATATATATACTTGTAATGTATATGTTTGTAATGCAATTATTTATATATATATATATATATATATATATACTCAAATATAAATAATTGCATTACAAAAATAGCATACAATTTTTAATCTTATACATGTTTATAAACATATATATATGCAGCAAAATCGCTTTTAATTTTTCTCCACAAAAAACAGTTATTTGTGCTTTAAGTCAGCAAGATTTATCTTTTTCGTTGAATACAAACGAATTTGGTTCTATTTAATTTTATGTGTATTATTAATTATATATATTATTTGTTCCACTTAAGCATAGCAGTTATCAATATAAACATATGTTTACTTTAATTTATAACACAAAAAAGGCAAAAAGTAAAACTTATAAATACAAAATACATATACATTTATCAAAAAATTCTATAATTTTTGTTTTATTCACCAAATTTTATTTTTTTCCAACCAATATTAAAAGAAAAACAATACATATACATATATCTATATAAATATTTATTATATATATTTTTTAATATTTAAAGAGTTTTTGCACTCCCACTCAAACTAACATGCAACTGTTAAGAGCTAACTGTGCTCTTCTTAACTTGAGTTATTTTGTACTTTTTAGAATTTCATTTTTATTATTTATTTACAAGCCACGTTTTGCTTTCCAAAAAAAAAACAAAGCTTAGTGATTTTCACACCAAATTAATATTAGTTTAAGGTAAAAAATCTCGGATACGCACATTAATAATCTAAAATATTATATAATTATGTAAATATATATATATATATATATAAATGTCTATGAGATACCAGAATCATACATACCCACACATCTAAGCATAAAATATACACCGGAAAGCGGCTAAACGGAAATGTATAGCTGGAGAAATTACCAAAAATATAGAAAGTAGTTTCAAGGCCCGCCATGCAGCTAAATTCTAGACTACAGTTGGTGTAGGTAAGTTGCCTGTGGCAATTTTCCACATTAAATTTAGGCTAATGAAATCTCCATGTTTACCTATTATGTTAGTGCAATTATTATTAAATAAATAAAACAAGTTGCAATTGAAGAAGAGACTTTAAGACTTGTACACTCAAATCTTAAGCAGTACAACTAGTGTGAAATTTTGAAAAAAAAAACAAACACCAAAGTAAAATTTTAAATCGATACCTCAGATAGGTTTTAAATTGTAGGCTTACAAGCTGTTGCCGTACTGTTCAATCAGCCTTCATATTACCTTAAACTCGATTTGCGCAAAACTGCATTTTCTAAATTATTACTTATTATTAGCGATTACTCAGAAACAAAAAAATTATCAAAAATGGAATTAAGGCAGCCCAAAAACAACTAAAACTTTGTGTGGTATTTACCTTTTCTAGAAATACCGTCATTTAAATTGTCAATTATTTAATTTTTTTCGACCGTAGGCGACTGTACGAACAGTATCTTCTAAAACGATTTTCTTAGATTTCATTAACGAAAAATTCCGAAATCACTTCAATGTTTTGAGCGCCATCGGAGATCGCGTGTAACTCGAAAAATATTAAAATTTTGTCCACAGAATATCAATTCCAAAAAATCGCCTTTTAAGGCTACCACGCTAGGTTTGCCTCTTAATCTGCTTCTGTAGGTTAAACTTTCACCATCTATGCGTGTTTTTTTCCACGTCGACTGCGAAACAGTGCCGAAATTTTATGCCGAAAGACACAGCAAATGACTGCTGAAAAACCTTGGTTCTTTACAATCCACTATTGGTCGCGCATATCGTGTCTACGCCATTATCCATGGGAGCAAAAACTTACATAAATGAAACAAAATATTTTTTGTCTAACATACTTTGATGATTAGTCTGGGATTACGAGAAAATTTACAACAAAGTATACTTCAGAACAAATTTTGAGAAACTAATCATTTAAATAATTAAAATAGATTAAGAAGGACTTAAAAATATATTAGACCCCAAACAAGAAATTCTCAACTCTATATGACACTTTCCTTCGCTCTTGCCCTCTCTCTCGCTCATCTCAGGATCGTAGATATTCACAGTATCAAAAAGTATTAATTCTAGGGTACTTTCCTAAAGGAAATAAGCGTTTTTAATTTTAGCGACCTTGGTAGTCTAATCGCCATTTATGTAGGATTTCACTTTTCTCTCAGAGACCAACATTAAAAAGTGGATCCACTAATTGAGTTACAATTTACTTAACCACACTGAAAACATAATTATTTGGAGATTTCATACCTAAATAAATAAGTAAAAAAAAATTCAAATATATTCCTATATTAAATAAACTCCATTTTTTCAGATGCAAGAAAGCAAAATTTGAAAGGAGAACGCGGACGCAAGCACAAATTTCGTGTAAGAGAAAACATGGAAAATCATATCAAAAGCACCAAGAATAACAAAAAATTAAAGGACATACAACAATAAAAAACATGAATAATTAACATATAAATTATGGATAAAAAGTTTTAAGAGGAACAGTAGGGATCATAAAAAATTAAATATAAAATTCCACAAGACATCACCTAAAAATATAAACGAGTATTTATAAAATTAGAAAACTAATGCAATAAGTCATACGAAATGTAAGCGAACAAAAATACAAACATTTAATGGCAGCTATTTTACATTTTTTCATAAAATAATAAACACATGCATACATACAAAATTACATAATGGTAAATAATTGAAACGTGTAAGAGAAAGTGTCTATAGTTGACGTAAAGTAGACGAGCAATGTTTTTTAACTCAAATACTTGCATGTATGTATGTACGATAGGAAAGTAATTAGCAGTTTGTAGGTACATAAATTTTAGAAATTCATTGAAATACTCAGCATTAAATCATTGTAAATATTTATCGTAAAATAATCCTTCCTCTCTGCAAGAGAAATAACTACGCAAAAGCGAGTAATTGGGTAATGCTCTAGTTAGATGTGCAGAATGAGTAATCGGTTGTTCGCAAAATGTACATAAATTAGCATCTTTTGATTTATTTGCTATTTGACACTTAAATTAATACTTAAATAATTAAATGGCAAACTAAAGACCTAATTAAAAAGCAGATACAACTGATATTTAGGATAAAATCGGTCAGTCATTTACAAGGTGTTGTAAAATTGAAGGGAGTTTAAAAATTTTTTTTTAAATACGGTCACAAAAAACTTAAATTAAATTACGACCTTTTAAAAAAGCATTAGTGAGTAGACCAATCCCAACAGTGTTAGATCGCTGAAATAACAGCTCTTGGCCGGATAAAATTCGCGTCAATTCCAATTTAAATATTGCTGTTTTAAGAATTGTCAAAGTGATACCCAATTCCACATTATATACCATATGGTATATACTATAGCTGATTTGTAATATCTGCAGTTAAAATGCCTCTATTTTGAATAACATCAAACACTCAGCAGTAACAAATAAATCGAATTCCAATTTTTTATTTGACACATTTTATTTTGAAAGTGACGTCACTCTAGCGTTATGCAAGGAGACATGTGAGAAGACAATGTCAAAATATTGTGTCTATAAACAGAAATTTATCGAAATGACAACTTTTATCATTAAATGTTGCATAATTGGGAGCGTGAGCTTAATTAAACTAAATAAGAATGCTTTAATCGTGATGTCTCGGCGTCTTATGCAAGAACCATTCAATGACTAAACCACTATAAATGTTGGCATACGAAAAAGCACTCAACACTACATGCTGTTAAACGTATTATAGTAATCGCATATTTTTCCAATATTAAGTTTATGGTTTAAAAATATAAAAAAAAAAAACTAAAGTGATAGGAAGCGATTTGAAAAATTAAGGTAATTTCGAAATGAAATTTTTTTTTTTGGTTAGTCATAAAAATGCTACCTGGCTGGCAATAATTATTGACTGTGGAGACGGTCAATAAACTTAGAAATATCATTGGTCAAAAGATAAACAAGATTATTAAAAAAAATTCTAAAAAGGGTTGCTAAAAATGGCAGCAAATAGTCTTGAGCTAAAAGTAGAAATAAAATAAAACACCATGTATTTGTATTTGTCGTCGAAGATTTGAATCTAATGCATTTTATTAAAAAAAAAAAAAAAAAATGAGATTTTGAAAAATGTGTAACATTATTTTACTTATTTTAAATAACTTAACAAACTAAAAAAAATATATATTTTATATATTATAATATCTTATATATATATTTTTTTTTGTTTTTTAAAATCACATTTAGGTTAAATAAAAAAATTTAAGTAGTGAGAAATTTGAGATGGTTTTGTAAAAAGCCAAGAAAGAATTATAAAAATTGTTTCTAAGTCAAAAATATATGAGTATATATACGAGTTTAATAATAATGAATTTTAATAAAAATAATAAAAAACATTGGATTTTTAATATATAAAATTTTTTAAGACAAAACAAATAATATAATTTTTTCAAATTTTTCGTTAAGATTCACCATTATATTGAAACACGACAATTTAAAAATAGTTTTAATTTTTACTTAAGTATAAAAAAATATATTAAAATAGTTTTAATTAAATTAAATTTTCTTTTTAAATATTTTTAATTTTTAATTAAGTTTAAATTATTAAATAAAATAATATTTTGTTAAAAAAAATAATTTAAATTTTTATTGTAACACAAGAATTGAAAAACAATTTGAATATTTAACTAAGTTTAAATGTTTAATTAAATTGTATTATTTTTATTTAATTCAAATAATTTTAATGTTTGATTAAATAAATTAAATTTAAATATATATTCAAATTATTTCGCAATTCAATTCATTCAAACAATTTTAATTTTTATTTAAATAATTTAAATTTAATTAAATATTCAAATTATTTTTCAATTCTCGTGTTCCAAATTTTAATTTTTATTTTAAATTATGTTAAATAAACTTTTAAATATAATTAAATATTACAATTATTAAAATTATTTTAATTATTTTTAATAAAAATTTAAATATAATTATTAAAAATTTAAATTTAATTATATATTCAAATTATTTTTAAATTTTCGTGTTTCAATACAATTTTGAAACAAAAAATTATTTTAATTTTTAATTAAATATAAATTTTTAATTAAAATTTTAATATCTTTTTCAATTATAATTTTTTTTTTTTAATTAAAATTATTATTTCTTTTTCAATTATAATTTTTTCCTTTTTTTCTCATTTTATTTCATTACTTTTTAATGCAAATTAATTTCACAAACTTTTTCCAAACAATTTTTTAAATCAATTAAAATACTTGCCTGTAAATATTGTATTTAAGATTAGCAAGTAGACAGCGTTTGCGCTGAAAATGAAATAATCCTTGTAAAAATACAAACGATACTCACAAAATAGCTATGATATTAGTATTAAAATGATGGAATGCAAATACAAATACAAATAGTATATTTGCATAATGTATAGTTTATAAAATAAACAACAAAAGTAAATGATAAATATGTATATGAGTCAAGTGTGTTATGTATAGTAAGGGACAAATATTAAAAGTAATACAAACAAAAAATGATATCTATTATCTATACATACTTACAAACATGTGTACGTAGATATAAAAGAAACTTTTTCGAAATGACTCGCTTTCAATGTCAGCATTTGCCGTCTAACCTCTTCTAATACTCAATGTGATAGTAGTGAAGTCTATTTTTGCAAAAACAAAAAACGATAAACAACAACAAATAACCACAACAACAACAATAACAATTAATAAAAATATATCAAATAGAATGCAAATAGAATTTCTTACTCAAATTATAAGAAAAAGTAAAAGCGTGAATATCCAATTTTTAAAACTAGTGATACAATAAAAAAATTAATGTGAATTATTAAAAAAAAAAATATTTGAATTTGCAAAGAGTCATATGAGCAAAAGTTTTTATTTAATGTGAAAGTTAAAATAAGTTCGCAGCCTAATAAAGAGTGCGAAGTTAATGAATTTATTAAACTTCAGCTGTTTTCGAGTGTCTAATCGAAAGCATCGTGCTGCTCACGAGTAAAAACTCGTCAAGAAAAAATTTTAAATTCTGAGATTTAAAATTGAGTTCAAGATAGTAATTAACCAATAGTAGAATTCAGTGTTAAAAACATGCTTTAAATTTATCAGTGTCTAAAAATATATAAATACAAATATAGAAATTGTCAGAAATCAGTATATATAATATAATATATAGGATAAAATAAATTTTGAAATTACAAAATACGACGGCAATGGAAACGAAGTGAGCAACTCAATTATATAATAACTAGAGAGAACTAGAACTAGAGGTAAATTTTCAAGTGATTTAAGATTTTTTTTTTTTTATTTTGCGACCATCTTTCGAATTATGGGTTGCATTTTGTAGTTCTGAGTTTTGGCCCAATAGTTTAGCTAGTTGTAGAATTCGGTTATACTAACGAATTTTATGTTGTTCGCAACTGGATTTTATTCGACTTATATAATAAATAACTACAAACAATGTACATTTACACAATTAAACTCGATTAAATTCCAGCCGGTATCCGACTTTCAACGCTTTTTCTAGCAATTGGTGGCGTATGTCAGCAATCTCACTCCCGATTATTCTTTGCATCAGATTTATCTGTGTACACGCACGATCTTGGAGGCCATGCCACAGGCTCATGACGTGAGATATTGTGCTCACAAAAAATCTCCTTCAATAAAGGTCGTCCACATCAACAATTTTCAATTCAGACACGGAGATGTCATTAGTTATGACTCTATAGTATTCCCCATTGACTGCAGTATGACGGCCGGCTACAGTTTTGAAGAAATATTGACCAATGATTACCGCTGCCCAAAGAGCACACCAAACAGTGACTTTTTAAGAATGTAATGGCGTCTCAATTATGGCTTGTGGATTATAATCACTTCACATTCGACACTTTTGTTTATTATGTAACCATTCAATCAAAAGTGAGCTTTATCGCTCAACAAAATGTTCTTATAGAAATCGGGATCGGTGGCCATCTCGTTTTGGGAACATTCACTGAACGTGCGACGCGCTTGATAGCTTGTTTATGAAATGGCAGAAAAACTGAGTATAAATCAAGTTACAGCTGTCAAAAAAACCAACTCCAAAAAAAATATTGCCTCATTGAAAACTACATGTCTAGAAAAAAAAACACCCGTTATACCTCAACTGATTTCATATATTCATTATATCCGCGATTTTGTTAGAAACGAATATTGTCGAGCGTTACAATCTCCGTGTACATTTCACCAGCGCTGGTTTTATAACGGTGTATTTTCATTTGACTCATGAAACTTATAGGTATATTTGGTTTAAATCACACTGTTTATGAATTTCGTTTCATTCGAGAATTTTAAATTCGACGAGTTTTGACTGACGATAGCGAGTTTTATTAGTTTTATATGTAATTGAGTTCGTTCCAATTATTTAGTATGAATAATAATGTTATTAAATTGGAAAGTTTTAAAATTGTAAATTTGCAATCGAACCTCACAATGAATTAATTCGCAAGTTGCTTTTAGACATGCAAAGAGATCATATGTAAGCAGTTTCCGAAAATGTTAGGCAACCAACTATTTTAATTAAGCTAGAAATTAGACACTGTACTTAAGTAACGAGTGCATCCTTATCATACCAAGTATAACCACTTCAAATCTTAGTAGTCTACCTAATTGGCATACAATGTTGCTTATACTTAAGTACTTAAGCATTTGTGATATGTAAACAATCAGTATATTTATTTGTATGTAGTAAAAAAACACTTTCTTCATTATTATAACACTTGAAAACTAACGATTTGAGAGCGGCACATATACTCGTATATACATATTTTTAATTAAATAATTTCAATTTTTTTTTAAACTGATTCATAAGAAGACTTTAATATAAATTTAGTTCTTTAATAAAGTTAGCAATGTATTTGAATAGGAAAATAAAATCAGAAGTTAGAAAAGCACAACTCAATGTTAGATGATAGGTTAGGAAGCGTTTAATAATAAAGTGATGTTGCTGAGGTTATAAAAATATTAGAGGAGTGTAATAAAAATAAATTTAATAGAAAAAAAAATAAATTATAATAATAAAGATAGTGAGCAGTAATTAAGCTTAGAGAAGTTGTTAAAATTAAACAAACCACTCCAATTAAAGTGAAGTGTAGAAAACGTCCGAAAATAGTTCTAATAAGAGAAATATCGTGATATCATTTAAAATTTTGTCAGGAACGCATAAAAATGTTGCTGAAAAAGTATGGAAATCAAAGCCCAAATAAAACTTTTGATATATGTAAGTGTGGCAAAAAAAGCAAAGTAAATGAAAATCATAGTAGAAATACTAAAAATTTTAAGGGAGCGAAGAGAAATGAACGCTATAATTGGCTTGGCTGAATTGAAGCAATATGCATGGGAGATCCAGGAAAGGGCACAGAAAAAGTATCAAAAAAGCAATTATTTTTAAAGAGTTTGCATTAATTTGCGCCTAAAATGCAAGCGGAAAATATTTTTTTAATACAATGAGTCATAATAAAAATTTTCATTTCCCAAAAAGAATTTCCTACAGCAAAATATGTCAAATTAAGACATTGTGACCAAATTATTTTCGTTAAGCGAGTAAAGAGCAACGCAGTTTTTCCAGAAACACTTAAGTCGCAAACATTTTTTTTCAAAATTACTCAAAGTGCAGTTATGCTTTGGTGCAAGAAAGCTGTTTAACTAGTTAAACAAAGCTTCAAAAAAAAATTATATTATTCAATTTGAAATTTAGTTTCATGCAGACATAAATTCTGAAAGTTTTAAAACTAA